ACTCATCCTGTGAGTGGTAGTTTATTGTGCACCCCATACTCATCCTGTGAGCTTTACAGCAATTAGTGCACCAGGCTATCTAGCTGTGACTGCCCGTAACTGAAGCACTGCTTTCACTGCAGCAGGCAAAAATGTCACAGTGAAATATTTACAGGCTGGAGCTCAGTCATACACTTACATGCTTACTCCACTGTTCGATAATGTGTCCCGCTGGGCGGCTCTGGCTCAGAGTACAGTGACCCAGAGATGGCTCTGATTTTAGGCTTCACAGTTGTAAACACATGACACGTGGCTCTGATTTTAGGCTTCACAGTTGTAATCACATTACATGTGGCTCTGATTTTAGGCTTCACAGTTGTAATCACATTACATGTGGCTCTGATTTTAGGCTTCATAGATGTAAACACATGACATGAGGTTCTGATTTTAGGCTTCACAGTTGTAAACACATGACATGTGGCTCTGATTTTAGGCTTCATAGTTGTAAATACATGACACGTGGCTCTGATTTTAAGCTTCATAGTTGTAAATACATGACATGTGGCTCTGATTTTAGGCTTCACAGTTGTAAATACATGACATGTGGCTCTGATTTTAGGCTTCACAGTTGTAAATACATGACATGTGGCTCTGATTTTAGGCTTCATAGTTGTAAATACATGACACGTGGCTCTGATTTTAAGCTTCATAGTTGTAAATACATGACATGTGGCTCTGATTTTAGGCTTCACAGTTGTAAATACATGACATGTGGCTCTGATTTTAGGTTTCACAGTTGTAAATACATGGCATGTGGCTCTGATTTTAGGCTTCATAGTTGTAAATACATGACATGAGGCTCTGATTTTTAGGCTTCACAGTTGTAAACACATGACATGAGGCTCTGATTTTAGGCTTCACAGTTGTAAATACATGACATGTGGCTCTGATTTTAGGCTTCACAGTTGTAAACACATGACACGTGGCTCTGATTTTAGGCTTCACAGTTGTAAACACATGACACGTGGCTCTGATTTTAGGCTTCACAGTTGTAAACACATGACAAGAGGCTCTGATTTTAGGCTTCACAGTTGTAAACACATGACACGTGGCTCTGATTTTAGGCTTCATAGTTGTAAACACGTTACACATGGCTGTGAATTTTGGCCAAAATGACACAAATTTTCCCGTTCATCTCACAGAAGTGAAATGTGAAGGGATGCTGAGGCCCAGCATCGTTATCTCCTTGGTGATGGAGGGAGGCGCAAGGGGAGGGGAGGAAGAGAGGGGAGAGGAGAAATGAGGAAGAGGGGAAGACTGAAGAAGAGAGGGAGGGGAAGGGGCCCCTACCACCATCTGTAGGGGGGGGGAAGGGGGAGCCGGGGTCACGTGTACCGCACGAGTCACACGTCATCGATCACGTCATCAATCACGTGACCTCACGCCACCCACGTGCTGTGAAATTGGGCACCGCCATGTGACGGGTGAGGGGAGAGAATGGGGCCCCCCACGGTGTGACGGGTGAGGGGGGGAATGGAGCCCCCCACGGTGTGACGGGTGAGGGGGAGAATGGAGCCCCCCACGGTGTGACGGGTGAGGGGAGAGAATGGGGCCCCCCACGGTGTGACGGGTGAGGGAAGAATGGAGCCCCCCACGGTGTGACGGGTGTGGGGAGAATGGGGCCCCCCACGGTGTGACGGGTGAGGGGGAGAATGGGGCCCCTACACTGTGCAGATGAAGGATGGCCCGTGTGACGTTGTGGGGTGGCCCGAGGGCCCCTTTTGTGTGACAGGTGATCACACACACACACACACACACACACACACACACACACACACACACACACACACACACACACACACACACACACACACACACACACACACACACACACACACAGGCCAGATACAAGGTATCATCTGGGAGAGGAAATTCTTCAGGAGTCAGAGAAGGAAAAAGACTTGGGGGTTGATATTACGCCAGACCTGTCTCCTGCAGCACATATCAAGCGGATAACATCAGCGGCATATGCCAGGCTGGCCAACATACGAACGGCATTCAGAAACTTGTGTAAAGAATCATTCAGAACTTTGTATACCACATATGTCAGGCCAATCCTGGAGTATGCAGTCCCAGCATGGAGTCCATATCTAGTCAAGGATAAGACTAAACTGGAAAAGGTTCAAAGGTTTGCCACCAGACTAGTACCCGAGCTGAGAGGTATGAGCTACGAGGAGAGACTACGGGAATTAAACCTCACTTCGCTGGAAGACAGAAGAGTTAGGGGGGACATGATCACCACATTCAAGATTCTGAAGGGAATTAATTGATAGGGTAGATAAAGACAGTCTATTTAACACAAGGGGAACACGCACAAGGGGACACAGGTGGAAACTGAGTGCCCAAATGAGCCACAGAGATATTAGAAAGAACTTTTTTAGTGTCAGAGTGGTTGACAAATGGAATGCATTAGGAAGTGATGTGGTGGAGGCTGACTCCATACACAGTTTCAAGTGTAGATATGATAGAGCCCAGTAGGCTCAGGAATCTGTACACCTGTTGATTGACGGTTGAGAGGCGGGACCAAAGAGCCAGAGCTCAACCCCCGCAAACACAACTAGGTGAGTACATACACACACACACACACACACGCACACACACACAGTCGTACCGCATCGTACTGATTTTCAAGAAAGGTGATAGGGAGGAGGCACTTAACTACAGACCCATATCACTGACAAGCATCCCCTGCAAAATACTTGAAAGAATAAATTAGGCTAAGACTTGTTGCACACCTGGAGAACATTGGGTTTGTAAATAAACATCAACATGGGTTCTGGAAAGGGAAATCATGCCTAACAAACCTTTTGGAATTCTATGATAAAATAACAAGGATAAGGCGGGACAGAGAAGGATGGGTAGACTGCATATTTCTGGACTGCCAAAAAGCCTTTGATACAGTACCGCACATGAGACTGCTATTCAAACTTGAGAGACAGGCAGGAGTAAGCGGAAAGGCCCTAGCATGGATAAGGAACTACCTAACAGGAAGGAGTCAGAGAGTTACGGTAAGGGGCGAGAAGTCGGACTGGCGAACAGTAACTAGTGGAGTACCTCAAAGATCGGTGCTGGGACCAATTTTATTTCTAATATATGTTAACGACATGCTTACGGGAATAGAGTTCTACATGTCGAAGTTCGCGGATGACGCAAAATTAATGAGATGAGTTGTGACAGACGAGGATTGTAGGATCCTCCAAGAGGACTTGTACAGGTTGCAGAGATGGTCAGAGAAATGGCTACTGGATTTTAACACGAACAAATGTAAAGTTATGGATACGGGATCAGGTGATAGGAGACCAAAGGGACAGTACACAATGAAGGGGAACAGCCTACCTGTGACGATTCGAGATAAGAGACCTGGGAGTGAACGCAACACCTAATTTACCTCCTGAGGCACATATAAATAGGATAACGACAGCAGCGTACTCTACACTGGCGAAAGTTAGAACATCATTCAGAAATCTAAGTGAGGAGGTTTTAAGGGCGCTTTACACTGCCTATGTGAGAGGAGACTTGGAGTATGAAGCACCATCATGGAGTCTCCACCTGAAGAAACACATAAGGAAACTGGAAAAGGTTCAGAGGTTTGCAACGAGACTCGTCCCAGAGTTACGAGTAATGGAATATGAAGAGGGCCTAAAAGAACTGAACCTTACGACACTAGAAAAAAGAAGGGAGAGGGGGGGGGATATGATAGAAACGTATAAAATACTCAAGAGGATTGATAGAGTGGAAATAAACGAAATATTCACACTAAATATTAACATAACAAGGGGACAAGGGTGAAAACTGGAACTCAGATGAGTCACAGAGATGTTAGGAAGTTTTCTTTTAGCGTGAGAGTAGTGGGAAAATGGAATGCACTTAAGGAACAGGTTGTGGAAGCAAATTCTATTCATAATTTTAAAACTAGGTGTGATAGGGGACCGGAGTCATTGGTGTAAACAACCGATGGCTCGAAAGGCGGGATCCAAGAGTCAATGCTCGATCCTGCAGGCACAGATAGGTGAGTACAAATAGGTGAGTACCGCCACACCTGGTGGCGCACCATACTAGCTGTATAGCTCTCGGGTATCTATTGACTTCTCGGTGAACAGAAGCATCAGGGAAACGAAACTCTGTCTATTTGTTTCTTCATCGGTCGGGGAATCGAACCCGGGTCCGAGGATCGCGAGCCCTGAATCCTGAACCTGGTGGGAAGTGGTTGGGCCAGATGTGTGTGGCCAGATGTGTGTGGCCAGATGTGTGTGGCCAGGCGGGTGTGGCCACATGGGTCTGGCCAGATGTGTGTGGCCAGACGTTTGTGGCCAAGATGTGTGTGGCCAGGCGGGTGTGGCCAGGCGGGTGTGGCCACGGCACATGTGGCACCCTGCCGTGGCCACACCCACGTAATGAGATGCTCGTGGCCCTGGTCTCGTGCCCCGGGAGGCTGGGGTCATCTTACTTAATGAGCCTTTGGCGCGCCACACCCGCCGCCGCCACACCTGGTGGCGCGCCACACCCGCCGCTGCCACACCTGCTGGCGCACCACACCTGGTGGCGCACCACACTTGCTGGCGCACCACACCTGCCGCCGCCACACCTGCTGGCGCACCACACCTGGTGGCGCACCACACCTGCTGGCGCACCACACCCGCCGCCGCCACACCTGCTGGCGCACCACACCTGCTGGCGCACCACACCTGCTGGCGCACCACACCTGCCGCCGCCACACCTGCTGGCGCACCACACCTGGTGGCGCACCACACCTGCTGGCGCACCACACCCGCCGCCGCCACACCTGCTGGCGCACCACACCCGTCGCTGCCACACCTGCTGGCGCACCACACCCGCCGCCGCCACACCTGCTGGCGCACCACACCCGCCGCTGCCACACCTGCTGGCGCACCACACCCGTCGCTGCCACACCTGGTGGCAAACTAACCACCAGCAACGCTAAGGAATGTGAGAAATGGATGTCACGTCGAGAGGTCATCTGAGGTCAAGACTGTTATCTCACCCTCCGTGACCTCACGGTGACGAGTCCCGTTGTAGGTTGTTGATGACTCCCGTTCCGTCCCTGACCTCCCGTTCCGTCCCTGACCTCCCGTTCCGTCCCTGACCTCCCGTTCCGTCTCTGACCTCCCGTTCCGTCCCTGACCTCCCGTTCCGTCTCTGACCTCCCGTTCCGTCCCTGACCTCCCGTTCCGTCCCTGACCTCCCGTTCCGTCTCTGACCTCCCGTTCCGTCCCTGACCTCCCGTTCCGTCCCTGACCTCCCGTTCCGTCTCTGACCTCCCGTTCCGTCCCTGACCTCCCGTTCCGTCTCTGACCTCCCGTTCCGTCCCTGACTTCCCGTTCCGTCCCTGACCTCCCGTTCCGTCCCTGACCTCCCGTTCCGTCCCTGACCTCCCGTTCCGTCCCTGACTTCCCGTTCCGTCCCTGACCTCCCGTTCCGTCCCTGACCTCCCGTTCCGTCCCTGACCTCCCGTTCCGTCTCTGACCTCCCGTTCCGTCCCTGACCTCCCGTTCCGTCCCTGACCTCCCGTTCCGTCCCTGACCTCCCGTTCCGTCCCTGACCTCCCGTTCCGTCCCTGACCTCCCGTTCCGTCTCTGACCTCCCGTTCCGTCCCTGACCTCCCGTTCCGTCCCTGACCTCCCGTTCCGTCTCTGACCTCCCGTTCCGTCCCTGACCTCCCGTTCCGTCCCTGACCTCCCGTTCCGTCTCTGACCTCCCGTTCCGTCCCTGACCTCCCGTTCCGTCTCTGACCTCCCGTTCCGTCCCTGACTTCCCGTTCCGTCCCTGACCTCCCGTTCCGTCCCTGACCTCCCGTTCCGTCCCTGACCTCCCGTTCCGTCCCTGACTTCCCGTTCCGTCCCTGACCTCCCGTTCCGTCCCTGACCTCCCGTTCCGTCCCTGACCTCCCGTTCCGTCCCTGACCTCCCGTTCCGTCCCTGACCTCCCGTTCCGTCCCTGACCTCCCGTTCCGTCCCTGACCTCCCGTTCCGTCCCTGACCTCCCGTTCCGTCTCTGACCTCCCGTTCCGTCCCTGACCTCCCGTTCCGTCCCTGACCTCCCGTTCCGTCTCTGACCTCCCGTTCCGTCCCTGACCTCCCGTTCCGTCCCTGACCTCCCGTTCCGTCTCTGACCTCCCGTTCCGTCCCCTGACCTTCCGTTCCGTCTCTGACCTCCCGTTCCGTCCCCTGACCTTCCGTTCCGTCCCCTGACCTTCCGTTCCGTCTCCTGACCTTCCGTTCCGTCCCCTGACCTTCCGTTCCGTCTCCTGACCTCCCGTTCCGTCCCCTGACCTTCCGTTCCGTCTCCTGACCTCCCGTTCCGTCCCCTGACCTTCCGTTCCGTCCCCTGACCTTCCGTTCCGTCTCCTGACCTCCCGTTCCGTCCCCTGACCTTCCGTTCCGTCCCCTGACCTTCCGTTCCGTCCCTGACCTCCCGTTCCGTCCCCTGACCTCCCGTTCCGTCCCTGACCTCCCGTTCCGTCCCTGACCTCCCATTCCGTCCCTGACCTCCCGTTCCGTCCCCTGACCTCCCGTTCCGTCCCTGACCTCCCGTAAATAGCATTAGTTAGCAAAATTAGTTAACTAACATTAGTTAGTAGTTACAGTTGATTGACAGCTGAGAGGCGGGCAGAAAGAGCAGATCCCAACCCCCGCAAGCACAACTAGGTGAATACACGCGCTACAACCTCACCACACACAGAACCCCATAAAAGGCTGTTAAAAAACGTGGAGCAACAGGCAGGAGTAAAAGGGAAGGTGCTCCAGTGGATAAAGGAGTACTTAAGCAACAGGAAACAGCGAGTAACGGTGAGGGGGGGGAGACATCAGAGTGGCGAGATGTCACCAGCGGAGTCCCACAGGGCTCAGCACTTGGACCCATCCTGTTTCTAATATATGTAAACGATCTTCCGGAGGGTATAGACTCGTTCATCTCAATGTTTGCTGATGATGCAAAAATTATGAGAAGAATCAAGACGGATGAAGATAGACAGAGACTACAGGATGACCTGGACAAATTGGAGGAATGGTCTAGAAAATGGCTGCTAAAGTTCAACTCAGGAAAGTGTATGGTAATGTAATTAGGCGAAGAGAGCAGGAGGTTGAACACAAGGTATCATCTGGGAGGTGAAATCCTGCAAGAGTCAAATAGAGAGAAAGATCTGGGGGTTGATATCACACCGAACCTGTCCCTAGAGGCCTGCATCAAAAGGATATCATCAGCGGCATATGCTAGACTGGCCAACATAAGAACTGCCTTTAGAAACTTGTGTAAGGAATCGTTCAGGACCCTGTATACCACTTATGTAAGACCAATCCTGGAGTATGCAGCTCCAGCCTGGAGTCCATACCAAGTTAAACACAAGACAAAGTTAGAGAAGATTCAGCGGTATGCCACCAGGCTCGTCCCGGAACTGAGAGTTATGAGCTACGAGGAAAGGTTAAAGGAGCTGAACCTCACGTCCCTGGAAAACAGAAGAGTAAGGGGAGACATGATAACCACCTACAAAATTCTCAGGAAAATTGACAGGGTACCTTACCTACCTTGAACAAAGACAACCTCTTCAGCACGGGTGGGACACGAACAAGGGGACACATGTGGAAACTTAGTACCCAGATGAGCCACAGAGACGCTAGAGAGAATTTTTTCAGTGTCAGAGTAGTTAATAAATGGAATGCACTAGGCAGTGGTGTGGTGGAGGCTGACTCCATACACAGTTTCAAATGTAGATATGATAGAGCCCAGTAGGCTCAGGAATCTGTACACCAGTTGATTGACAGTTGAGAGGCGGGACCAAGGAGACAAACCTCAACCCCCGCAAGCACAATTAGGTGAGTACAATTATGAGTATACAACCGATTCAGACGTAGAATAACGTTAAATAACACGGAGTGTACATCTATAAAACAACCCCATAAAGAACTTTTTAGGATTAGGGTTTAGCATTATTCGATGTAGAATAACAGTATTAAAACTTGTTAAATAAATAGAATAATTATAATAATCCTATTGAAAGATGTTTGCGTTGTTAGAGAGAGAGAGAGAAAGGAGAAAACGAAGAGAGAGAGAGTGAGAGAGAGAGAGAGAGAGAGAGAGAGAGAGAGAGAGAGAGAGAGAGAGAGAGAGAGAGAGAGAGAGAGAGAGAGAGAGAGAGAGAGAGAGAGATCTGTGTGGGGGAAGGGGGGATATCCTTGGCAGTAGTGCCACCATCAATCACAGAGACAGTGCCTCCCCCCCCCCCCCCCTCAAGGGTCTGTCTTCACTCTACTCCAACATGCTGCCAATGGACCTTTCCCCTCCCCCCTTCTCTCCCTTCCATCTCTCCCATACCCGTCCCCTGACCTGCCTGTCTCCTCACTCTCATTCCTTTCTTCTCTTCTCACCTTTACTTTTTTTTTTTTGTTAATCGTTCAACATTTCCTTGATAATGTCTCTCTCTCTCTCTCTCTCTCTCTCTCTCTCTCTCTCTCTCTCTCTCTCTCTCTCTCTCTCTCTCTCTCTCTCTCTCTCTCTCTCCTTTCACATAATCTTATTTTGAATTCCTTCATCTCATCTTCCAGTCGGTATCTCCCCGTTTCATTCACTCTGCATCACATGTTCTTTATCTTCTCGCCTGCCTTGTCCTCCTCTTCCTATCGCTTCCTCTTACCCCCTCTCTTTTCCATACATTCCGTCTTCTATTCCTTCTCTTTCATACCTTCCTCCGGTTCCTCCCCTTCCCCTATTCTTCTACCCTTCGCTTCTCCCATTTCTCTCTTCCTGTCCTCATCCCTGTCTACTCTCCCCTCTCCTGTCTCCCCTCTCGCCCTCCCCTTCTCTCTCCATCTCCATTTCTATTTCCTCGCAGCTTCACAACTTTTCCTTCCCCCTCTAATCATCATCTTTAGCGGTGCTCTCACGCTATCCGTCTCTACCCTCTGCCTCCTTGCATAATTAATTTGAGTCTTAAGACGTATTTTATTTCTTGCTCGTCTTCGCCTCTTTATTCTAGTTCGTCTTATTATTAAGAGTGCCGCGGTCTTGGTGGAGTTGTGGGGTAGTACTGAGCCTAATCGTGTTTGCAGGGGGGTTGAGCTTCGGCTCTTTGGTCCCGCCTTTCGACTTTCGGTCAAGTGGTATACAGATTGCCAGGTTTATAGAGCTGTGTCATGTCTACATTTGAGAGTGTATGTAGTGTTTGGCACGGATATTGTACTCTTTATCCTCTAATCATGCACTCTATCCTCATATCCTCTAATCATGTGCTCTATCCTCATATCCTCTAATTGTACTCTAATCATTTGGTCACTACTCTAACACTGATAAAAATCTGTCTCATTTAGGTATTCAGTTTGCGCTTGGGTCTATTTATTCAATTCCAGCGATGCTTAATTGTATGTCCTTGTCTAACTCTATCAGTTCCGGCCCTTGAGAATTTTGTACGTGGTAATCATGTCTCTCCTAACTTTTCTGGCTTCCTATAACGTGGGGTTTAGTTCTATTTGTCTTTCCTCATACCTCCCACCTCTCAGTTTTGGCACTAACCTAACCTAACCTAACCTAACCTAACCTAACCTAACCTCTGGATTTTCTCCCAACTTCGTCTTGTAATTTAACAAGATAAAGACTCGAGGCAGGTATTGCGCACTCCAGGAATGGTCTAACTTTGTGTAAAGATCAGATTCTGACTTAAGAAATGCCCCTTTTTTACACCCTGCACTCATCCCCGACCCCTGCACTCAGCCCTGACCCCTGCACTCAGCCCCTGACCCCTGCACTCAGCCCTGACCCCTGCACTTAGCCCTGACCCCTGCACTCAGCCCCTGACCCCAGCACTTAGCCCTGACCCCTGCACTTAGCCCCTGACCCCTGCACTTAGCCCTGACCCCTGCACTTAGCCCTGACCCCTGCACTCAGCCCCTGACCCCAGCACTTAGCCCTGACCCCTGCACTTAGCCCTAACCCCAGCACTTAGCCCCTGACCCCAGCACTTAGCCCCTGACCCCAGCACTTAGCCCTGACCCCTGCACTTAGCCCTGACCCCAGCACTTAGCCCCTGACCCCAGCACTTAGCCCTGACCCCTGCACTTAGCCCCTGACCCCAGCACTTAGCCCTGACCCCTGCACTTAGCCCTAACCCCAGCACTTAGCCCCTGACCCCAGCACTTAGCCCCTGACCCCAACACTTAGCCCCTGACCCCAGCACTTAGACCTGACCCCTGCACTCAGCCCTGACCCCTGCACTCAGCCCTGACCCCTGCACTTAGCCCTGACCCCTGCACTCAGCCCCTGACCCCAGCACTTAGCCCTGACCCCTGCACTTAGCCCCTGACCCCTGCACTTAGCCCTGACCCCTGCACTCAGCCCTGACCCCTGCACTCAGCCCCTGACCCCAGCACTTAGCCCTGACCCCTGCACTTAGCCCTAACCCCAGCACTTAGCCCCTGACCCCTGCACTTAGCCCTGACCCCTGCACTTAGCCCTGACCCCAGCACTTAGCCCTAACCCCAGCACTTAGCCCCTGACCCCAGCACTTAGCCCTGACCCCTGCACTTAGCCCTGACCCCAGCACTTAGCCCCTGACCCCAGCACTTAGCCCTGACCCCTGCACTTAGCCCCTGACCCCAGCACTTAGCCCTGACCCCTGCACTTAGCCCCTGACCCCAGCACTTAGCCCTGACCCCAGCACTTAGCCCTGACCCCAGCACTTAGCCCTGACCCCTGCACTCAGCCCCTGACCCCAGCACTTAGCCCTGACCCCTGCACTCAGCCCTGACCCCTGCACTTAGCCCTCACCCCAGCACTTAGCCCCTGACCCCAGCACTTAGCCCCCACCCCTGCACTCAGCCCTGACCCCTGCACTCAACCCTGACCCCTGCCCTCAGCCCTGACCCCAGCACTTAGCCCCCACCCCTGCACTCAGCCCCTGACCCCTGCACTTAGCCCTGACCCCTGTACTCAGCCCTGACCCCTGCACTTAGCCCTGACCCCTGCCCTCAGCCCTGACCCCAGCACTTAGCCCCACCCCTGCACTTAGCCCCCACCCCTGCACTCAGCCCTGACCCCTGCCCTCAGCCCTGAATGATTGTGCTAAGGATCGAACCATTAGTTTCTTAGATTGGGGAGTTGTGTTCTAGGGAAAGCTAGTAAGGCAAGGCTTACCTTGAGCTATGGGAAGGGAAAGTTCTCAGCCTGCTAACAGGAGTCAGAAGTCGTCTGTTCCTCTACCCTCCTGTGTGAAGGAAAAAAAGGAGGAAGGAGGCGCATACTATATCATGCCTCCCTCCTCACGATATATCATGCGTGAGAGGAGGGAGGGGGGCGCATGAGAGGGGGGGGGACATGACGGGGTGAGAGGGGGAGGAGAGGGGAATGCACATGAGGGGGTGAGAGGAGAAGGGGGGGGGGGCATGAGGAGGGGGGAGCACGAAAGAGGGGGGTGAGAGGGGGAGGTGGGAGGGGGGAGCACGAAAGGGGGGGTAGACACATGAGGGGGAGGGGGGGGTGTGAGAGGCGC